CACTGAAAACAATTTTGCGACTTTGCTCAGTGATGTGCGAACTTGGCGCTCTATTTCAAATTTCAGTGTATTTGGTTTGATTATATTATTGAATTCAATTTATTATTATTATATTATTTTTTAGGATTATTTATTAAATTATAATTTATTCTTTCGTGTTTCAAGTTTTATCCTACCCAGGATGTTTACTAGACTCTTGTTCAGACAGATTTCAGTGAGTTATTCCTAAGAATTACAGGCCTACAATATAAAACGCCAAATTTCCATGCAAAATAATGGTACCACTTTCAGCACCTAAAATCTGAAATAATCATACCGCCAGGGAGGTTAAGCAGCATTCAAGTGTCCTGAACAAAATGGTACCTTTTCTCCCACAGTTGGTTCCTGATGTTAAAAGGGAGAATCTCTTCATCTTTCTCTCCAGGCATGACAGCCTGTTTTCTAGGAACCCAGCAGGGTGTCTCCTTAAAGCAGAGAACCAATCGCCTCATTTGGGGAGGGGTGTTTAGGAAGGGGACCCTGGCTATGACCAAATCCCTCGCACATTTATACCATGGTCAATAACCTTCCATAGGTGCATGCAGCAGCCTAGACAATGGCAGGTTAATATGCAGAACCATATTCCGAACATCTAGACATCAAATATGACATATCTGGCTGTGACGGCTAAAGAGATATTGCTTTCTGCTCTCTGGTAGATGTTATCTAGGGGTGTAGGGTATCAGGTGACTCGCATTAAACTGACCTCTTTGAATATATGCTTTATTTTAGTGTACTTTGTTCCTGCCGGGATTTATGAAATTGTATGAAAAAGTGGTTTCAAGTGGGATGTATGTTTTACTGCCACCCTGGAATGCTTTCATGTCCAGTGACTGACTGACTGGTTTTTAGCTTTACGACCCGGCCACGGCAAGGGCCTGTCAGACATCATGGAACCAGCTAATTGGGTTTACGACCATGAAGCGTATCCAGCTGTGTCCGATTCCCTTGTGACCCCAGCATACATACACAAACACCACATGCCATTCAAAAAAAAGGGAGGGGGGACTGATTTGGAGTGAGAATGACATTTGCAGAGTATGATCCAAATTATGGTTGTCATTGCCCATATCTATGCGCACAATTATCACAACATACTATTTCCATTTTGGATGATGGATTGAACAGTGCTCCGTGAGATGTTCAAAGCTTGGGATTTTTTTTATAACCTAACCCTGAATTGAACTTCTCCACAACTTTATCCCCAACCTGTCTGGTGTGTTCCTTGACCTTCATGATGATGTTTATTCACTAATGTTCTTAACAAACCTTTGTGGGCTTCACAGAACAGCTGTATTTATACTGAGATTAAATTACACACAGGGGGACTAATTAGGTGACTTCTCTGAAGACATTTGGCTCCACTGAATTTTAGTTTGGGGAATCAGAATAAAGGGGGCTGAATACAAATGCACGCCACACTTGGATATTTATTTGTAAAACATTTTGAAAACCATTTATCATTTTCCTTCCACTTCACAATTATGTACCACTTTGTGTTCATCTATCACATAAAATCCCAATAAAATACATTTTATGTTTTTAATTGTAAGATGACAAAATGTGGAAAATTTCAAGGGGTATGAAAACTTTTTCAAGGCGCTGTAGTTAAGTTGCAAAAAACACTAGTCCATCTAGTTCAACCAATTAAAAAAAAAACACACACAAATAGAATGCCTCCATATACACAATCCTATACCCTATACCTAATTTTATTCTAATTTCAAACCAAAGACATTGGTGATCAGTAAGAACCCAAATTCTACACAGACAGTTTGAGAGTGAAAAATGCATTACCAGAAAGCACAGTAATTTTCCAAACTCGAGGAGCCGTATAGAAGTGAATGGGTGTACATTCTTGTACTCGGATACATGCCCATGCATTTTATACATTGGTGTAAGCTCGCACACGCACATATGATATATTCCTCCAAACACAGAATTTTCTGCGGCTCCTTGGGCACACAAAAACTGTCCTTGTACATGAGACCTAAATGTCCAGTAAGTCACCCATAATTGAAACGTCTTCCTAATGAACCACTGGTTTATGACTAGTATATATAATAAGAGAGTGGAATAAATGACACAAGCCATAAATCTTTCTCTGGAATATTTTGTAGTGTCATGAAGATATAAAAACCCTGCCTTAGATATGTATGTGATTCAGCACAGAGTAAGCCAAATGACAACAGGGACCACTCTTCTTACTCCAAGTTTTAGTGAATCACATTCAGGCATATGTCCAATGCCTTTCTGTTCACACCCTTCTTTTATCTGCAACATAAGTGATTCTGATGGAAACTAATGAGAATTTATGTCTGTGTTATTTGAGGTGAAGAATACAGTGTTTGTAGATGTCAAACGGTCCCCTAACCTGCTCACCTAAGCATAACCCTATGTAAATCAATATGTTAAATCTGTCTGCCTATAAATTACTTCATTAAGGAAAAAAACTGGAAAATTGCACACTGTTTTTGTTACCTTTTACAGGTCAATTTTCAGTTAAACTACTATACAGCCAAATTTTACATTTTAGTTTTAAATGTGGAAGGATTAGAAACCCTCTCGGGTTTTGCCTCTTTTTGGGGCATCATTAGAAAGAGTTCACAAGATATGTTTTTCAGTAAAATAGGTAAAGGTAGTTGAGCCTTGGATTATACTACTCGGTCCAGAGACGTGGCGACTTTTGAGAGGTTTTCTGAAGACAGTCTACTTTGTATCCCTACAGTTCAACTTTATAGGTTAGCGTTTTCCTATATATATATATATATATATATATGTATGTTTGATGCTGGGTTTGGACTCGTAGAAACTCATTTTTCTATGTCATGTGACCACACGGAAGGCCCCAGCGACTTGGACATATTGCACTTGTACCTGTCTATGTTTCTCTGACACGACTTTCTCTGTATTGTATTAAATTTCAATAAAAGTTTTTATGGGAAAAAAAAACAGGTAAAGGTTCAAACCACTGTCAAATTTTATTACAGTCAGTGTCCCTGTTAAAGATTTTCCCTTAAAGTGTTACTAAACCCAGGACCCTGCATTCACTATATCTGGTCTCCCACAGTACACAAAACATGGAAATGCAATTATTTTAGTAACTATAAACTGCTAAATACCTTTTCTCATCCGCAGTTGGAGCAGTCTCGTGAGTTCTATCAGTGTCCAGCAGAGCACATGTTAAAGCTTGTAGGAGGAGTTTTCTTACTGCTCTAAGAGGATGCAGAACCCCCTGACCTCTGTTTGGACAGTGCTAATCACATGCACTCTACCAAGAAAGAAAAAACTCTCTAGCAATACACACCAAACTGAGCATGTGCAGAGTGACTCATGCGATACTATTTTCAATCAATATTTGACATTTAAAAAGATATTTTGTAATTACTTAAAGTATAATTAAAAGGAAAACTTTTTTCTTGTTTTGGATAGGGTGGAAAGGTATTAGACCACCTATCAGGATTATACTGCTTTCTATCCCCATTAGGGAGATTCACCCTCTCTATTTGTCATGTTTACCATTATCGTTGAAAGTGAAATGTAAAGAAATTCCCAAATTTCGGGTTGTCCCCAGAAAAGTAATAGAGAGGACATCTTCCAATGGGGACACAGATGGGAAAAAAAATAAAAAAAACTGACAGGAGTTATAACCCTCCATTACACTATCCAAATTAAAAAAGAAAGTTTTGTCTTTAGTTTCACTTTCAATCAGCCTTTCCCAACCTTTCAACACAGAAGAACACTTGAAATATCTTTCCAGTCTGAGGAAACCCCTGCTAAAAAGACTATATCTACAATTCATGATACATTAGTGTGATGGTCAGTGGGAAGAATGCTCCTGTGGTCACTGAGAAGTCCCCCTTACAGATAGCTAAAAAGATAAACAATGTCAGTGGGAACTTGTCATTGGGAAGATATGTCTAAAATGAATTGTGAAAAAGTAAAGTATCCCCACTACATATAAGACATACACTATGTTGCCAAAAGTATTGGGACACCTGCCTTTCCACTCACATGAACTTTAATGGCATCCCAGTCTTAGTCCGTAGGGTTCAATATTGAGTTGGCCCACCCTTTGCAGCTTCAACTCTTCTGGGAAGGCTGTCCACAAGGTTTAGGAGGGTGTCTATGGGAATGTTTGACCATTCTTCCAGAAGCGTATTTGTGAGGCCAGGCACTGATGAGGGATGAGAAGGCCTGGCTCGCAGACTCCGCTCTAATTCATCCCAAAGGTGTTCTGTTGGGTTGAGGTCAGGACTCTGTGCAGACCAGTCAAGGCAAACAAGGCACTTGCCTAGGGTGATATTTTTCAGGGGGGCAGCACCTCCCCCCAGAAGAAGGGATGCGAGAAGGGACATGTTGTGCCATGGGAAGCAAGTGGGATCTGAGAGAGGCTGCTGGCTGCTTGATGGTGTATGTAGAGCCTGACTCTTGTTCCCAGGGATGTCCGGAGCTGTGAAGATGAGTGTCTTTCTCTCTATTGCTGGGGGGGGGTTAGTGTTGTTGGTCAATGTCAGGCTCTCTCCACGGCAGGGGGAAGGGATGGTGGTGTTGGTTTGTGTCTGTGGGGGGCGGACAATCTTTGTGTTGCCTACAGCAGCACAAAACCTAAATACACCACTGCCTCCACCCCAGACTCGCTCATCCATGTCTTTATGAATGTTGGAACAGGAAGGGGCCATCCCCAAACTGTTCCCACAAGGTTGGGAGTATGAAATTGTCCAAAATGTCTTGGTATACTGACACCTTAAGAGTTTCCTTCACTGGACCTAAGAGGCCAAGCCCAACCCCTGAAAAACAACCCCACACCATAATCCTTCTCCACCAAACTTTACATTTGACACAATGCAGTCAGGCAAGTATGGTTCTCCTGGAAACTGTCAAACTTAGACATGTCCACCAGAATGCCAAACAGAGACGTGTGATTCGTCACTCCAGAGAACACGTCTCCACTGCTTTAGAGTGGCGGCATGCTTTACACCACTGCATCTGATGCTTTGCATTGCACCTGGTGATGTAAGGCTTGGATTGAAAACCATTCCATGAAGCTCTCTACGCTCTGTTGTTGTGCTAATCTGAAGGCCACACGAAGTTTGGAGGTCTTTAACTATTGACTCTGCAGACAGTTGGCGACTTCTGAGCAATGTGCGCTTCAACATGCGCTGACCCCGCTCTGTCATTTTACATGGCCTACCATGTCCTGGCTGAGTTGTTGTTCCCAGTTGCTTCCACTTTGTTATAATAACACTAACAGTTGACCGTGGAATATTTAGTGGCCAGGAAATTTCATGGATGGATTTATGGCACAGGTAGCAACCTATCACGGTACCACGTTTTAATTCACTGAGCTCCTGAGAGCGGCTCATTCTTTCAAATGTTTGTAGAAGCAGTCTGCATGCCTAGGTGCTTGATTTTATACACCAGAATCCAATGATTTTGAGGGGTGTCCCAATACTTTTGTCAATATAGTGTATATGTCCTAACAAAGGATTAGACCATTCTGATATGCATTTACATAGTATTGAGGTTTGGGTGACTGGGAGGTTTTTTTTGCAGCAAATAATGTATATTCTTGTATATACACAAAAAAGTTTCTAAAAAGCTGGTGAAATGACAGGAGAAAATAAGTATATTTTACTACATGTAGTGGGGTGTATTTACTTAAAGCAGAGCTCCACCCAAAGGGGAAGTTCCACTTTAAGGACTGCTCCCCCGCTCCCCATTAAGGATTGGCACCTTTGGGGAGCGGGGGGGGGGAAGCAGGCACCCGAATTTGACAGGTACCCGCTCCTACTTCCGGTCCGATCGCCTAGGCGATTGGAAACAGAAGGTGTCCTCCCTTCCTGTAGTATTTTGGGACACGTGACAGGTCCTAGAAGAGTACAGGACCATTCATGAAGTTAGAGCTATTCACACATGCGCAGTGGGTACCCGGCCGTGAAGCTGCAAGCTATCAGAGCCGGGTGCCCACACTGCAGATGCCAGCCTCCTGGAATACAGGACAGCCGGTGAAATGAGCTGCGGGGGGGGACCGATGGACAGGCAAGTGGCTGTTTTTTTAAAAGTCAGCAGCTACAGTTTAGCTGCTGGCTTTTATTTTTTGATAGGTCGAGTGGAACTCCGCTTTAATGTAATGTCGTTGATTTACTAAAGGCAAATAGAGTATACAATTTGCAAGTGAAGTTGTTCCAGAGCTTAGTAAATGAGGGGGAGCTCTGCTGACTTCCATCATCCAATCATGTGCAAGCAAAAATGCTTTTTTTCCCCCCTTGCATGTGATTGGGTATTCTTTGTAAAGTGAAGCTTTACCTCATGTACTAAACTCTGGAGCAACTTGCAAATTGCGCAGTCTATTTGCCTTAAAGTAGAGCTACAGGAAAAACTTTTTTTCTTATTATTTTGGAGAGGGTAAGGGAGGGTTATAACCCCGGTCAGTTTAATTTTTTTTTATTTTTTGCCATCTGTGTCCCCATCAGAAGATGTTCACTCTATTACTTTCCTTGGGACAACCCAAAATTTGGGATTTTCTTTCACTTTCAATGATAGTAATAAACAGGACAAATAGGGGGAATCTAACTGGGGCACAGACAACAAATAAAACCTGACAGGTGTTCTAATCCACCTCCACGCTATCAAAAAGTAAAAATAAGTGTTTCCTTTAGCAAATCAACCCCATTGATTTCCATACTCAGGTTTCAATGCATTATTGTTGAGATAACTGATCCAAAAAGGTAGAAACTACTCACAATTGCCTATTATATTTTTACATTTCTTAAATACTGCATGCCTGAGCCATTACTTAATTACTGCATGCATTTAATTATTTATTTCCTTCTGTGCATTGACTTTAACGCCTTTTCAAGCAGTATTTACCAAGCGTTTTTTGAGTGTTTTGTGGTAAATACCGCAAAACGATATAGTGATTGACAGTTTCAGAATCGCATGCAAAATTTAGGCAAAATATGTCCAGACACCTAAATATCACATGCGATCTGCTTCTGTGGATGGAGCCCAGAGTAACACTCCTGTATCTCAGTGTTTTTTAAACCAGGGAAAGATCACCAAGATACCACCACTTACTACCCTATAGCACTGTTAAAATTTGACCATAAATTTTACTAAACTACTGGCTAATAGGCCGAGCACTGTTATTTACTTCATTGTACATGAGATTCAAGTAGGGTTTATATTGTATAGACAATCTGGGACAATACAAGACATACTATAGATCTAATGGATACCAATAATAAGATGGAGATGGCAGCCTTTTACTCAGTCTAGAGGACATAAAAAGTGTTGAATGCTTAAAGAAATATTATTATACCTGTATATATTTTTTTTTACAGTTTTCAGTTTCCGATGGGACAAAATACATGTAGCACTTTGTTCCATCTTCCTAGGTCAGACAGGGTGTCACATCTTAGCACACAGCTACCTGACACCATGTTAGGGTTTAAAATGTTAGGTAATACAACTAACCCTAAAATACAACTCATACACCCACAACAATATTACACTCTACAAGAATATTTATTTGAGCCAACATATATAAAATACCTATCACCTCTCATTTTTAAATAGCCAGATAGCCTCAATAAAAATATCTATTTTACTTAAACTTTTATATCTCTGCCAATAAAGGATCTTGGCAAGGATCTTAAGAAACTCAAGCCAACTTTCTGAATTTTAACTGGGCATATAAAAACATAAATTGTTGGAACATAAATCTCAAGGCAGACTTAGTGCTGGAAATATTGTCCAATATTGTCTAGCTTCCCACCTACGCCACTAGGCCTTCTGGTCCAATTTCTGGTCATACTACAGGTAGACTAAAATTAAAAACTATGGATTGCTCCAATCCATCCTAGCTTGATGCTATGGAGCTACTCATTAATGCTCCCTAAAATTCCTATCTTCCATGCAATCTGCAGACTGATCAGAGACAAATACCACCTGTCTACCCAAAATTTGATGATGACATCTTTTCTCTTTACTCCCTTATCCCTTTTGTATGGCTCAGTCCTGTAGAACTCACACTCTCTTTATGTTATATCAGTTTACTGACTCTCTCATACGAAGTTTTTTCCCTTCTCTGTTCTACAGGAAAAATAAGACAGCTATCTTGTAATACATGACCATGCCAGTTCACTAGCAAAGGATCTTACCTTTAGTAAGCCTGCTCCATTTGTGAAGACAGTCCCTCTGGGAAAGGTCTGATAATACAGCTATACTAAATAATTGGAAGAACCTTTCACCAAAGGTGGAACTCAGAGTAGTTCCTTAGGCAGGAACTACAACTCCCTATGTGGAAAATTGTGGGGACCCAGGTACATAAACACTCCATCGCTACAAAACATAAGGAGATTGTGTATAAATGCACTAGTATTATACAACAGAAAACTTACACTCTTTATATCCCTCGGTAAGCAAATTGTGATGGAGATGCAACACACGTTACAACGTTCATATAATTTGTCCCTGCCTGGGTTTCTCATCCTCTTGACAAGAAGTACTGTATACACATTGACATCCCAAATGAGCAGATCATCTAACCTAAACCCATTTCACATCTTATAGGTCTCTCTTAGTGGGATCCCTAAGAAATGTAGTACCCATGTACTAATGGCGACCCAATGCTTCATAGCTTTAAACTAGAAGCAATTTACCTCTCCAACTAAAACAGAGTTATAAAACTGGATTAAGGAAACTAAGTTGATGGAAGTCCTAAATACAAGATTGCATACTAAGACAAACACTCCAACATATGGCAGCCATGGGACCTATAAATCACATTTATTGACTCTACCCTTGCTATGCAGTAACCCATGAAGCTAGAAGACAGCAACACAATCTACAAGATGGATGACAAAGCACTACATAAAGTTTCTTGCCGACCGGAGTCCACATGTATGCTCTACGCTTAGTGTAATTCTTATAGTAACTGTCACGTACCTGATTGGAGACTGAAATGACGAGGTCAGCCTCACTTGTGTCACTAGCCCTGACTCCACTGGAAGTGGAACAGAGGGTGTCTAGGGACCAGGGGGACAAGAGCACCAGCAGATATTGTTTGCAGCTCTTGCAGCTGAAGACTTTGGAAGACTGATGAACCTCTGATTCAGGAACAGTAGTGATATGCAGAGCTGGTATGGTAGGTCGCCAGGTGTGCACCAGAACAAGGCAGGAAGCTGGGATGGGAGACAGGAACAAAGTCATAAGAATAGCCAGGGTCATCAACGGGCGGACAGCGAGGTACCAAATCATAAGCAAGCCGAAGTCAGGAACAAGTATCAAGCAAGAGAGTAATCAGAGTCAGGTCAAGAACAAGTCAGGCCAGCAACAAGGAAATCACACAGGAACGAGCAGGAAACGGGGAACAGCTGAAGACCAATCAGCACTCAGCACAGGCAGAGGCACATTTTAAATAGTCCGTCTGGCGCCAATCTTCACGGTGTGCGCGATCGCGCATTTCTTTGCGCATGTGCACTTCTACTTGCCGATCATCTCACCTAGATTCCCTTACAATAACTCTCCACCCTGACTGCTACCTGGGTACAAGGAAGGACTCCCAAATGCAATAGAGCCCCTTTCTATGTGTTTGATTGCTAGTAAACTCAAGTTGGAGGCATGCCAACTAAAACCAGCATTGCAGTACAACAGCCAATGAAATAAAACTATAAGAATGTCTGGTGCCATAGAAATTTTAGTTATAATCTGCCAATATTACTTATATGGCACTTAATATAACACAAATGGCACAAAAATCCAAGCCATCTAACATCACAAGATATGTTTCTGGAAATATATGACCTCTATGTTCTCAGGTGAGCTAGGTGGAACTGACTTTATGCTCTGTAAACAGGGATTAAACTACATGACTCATCAACATCCCTCATTATTAACTCAGTCACAAGATGTTGGTGCTCAATAAAATATCAATTCCAGGTGGTATTAGCTAATTTCAGGGAAGGCTGTCATAGAGCAGTTCTGATAATAAGGACTAATTGCATCTGAAGCAGTTATGATAAATGGGTTCTCCCTAAACTATAATAAACAATTATATTGTAGTGTAGCATAATGCTGCACTATGCAGAACTTCAAGAAAATAAAAAATAATTATCTTGTTTTAATATCAAGAGTTTTTAAAATCCCTATAATAAGGAGTTCAGGTTGTTGTAGAGCTGTGGCAAGTTCAGATATGTTTTATTATTTCATTTTTAATTATATGTAGTATAAATGTGTTCCTTTTGTACAGTATATGACATTAGCAACTGCATGAAAAAATGTGTGCCAGTTGGAAAAACTCAGTACAAGTATTCATGGGGCAGAGGTGGGGCACACATCAGAGCTATTCTTCTTTTCATAAAGTTTAGTTTTGTAACTAAAAAAGATAACT